TAAATGTCGAAAGACAGGCCTAGAACTTCCTTAAAAGTCGGTAGAAGGACAAGAGGATGCGAGCAAGGGTGCGATACGGTGCATTAATTCGGTCCTCGTCGCGTCGATAAAAGGCATCGATGTTATATAATCGAGTAATCCCTGTCTATCCCTAATTACTCTCCGAACCGAATTAATGCCGCACTGTGCTCGGAATATTGCGGAGCACGAAGACCGCGAGGTTTCAAAATTGCGCCTTCCACGCCATTGCACAGTGGGCCAGGGATCCGGAATTATGGCCAAAAACCAATTTTCAAATTTTATCAAATTTATTATGTCATGATATTCAACATACTTCGAAGTAGTTGTGATCCAATTTTTACGGTGTTTTATCAATTGCTGTTGATTTAGCAGTATCGTGAAACCGAACAGTATGTTATTATCATCATAGCGATTACTGTTTATAAATACCGAAAGTAATAGATTTCGTATACATTTTTAATATATTGAAATGTAAGGACTACTTATAAATTTATGGTTAGTAGATAAAAAATCATGTATATAATCAAAATATTTATATTTTGACATTTTTTGATGTATTTTACTGAAATTTTCAAAGCAATGCTACCTTTCGATTAGCTATAACCGGCCATAACACGTCATATGAAAAAAAAAACGAAGCATTAATGTATTCTATATGTTGAATACTATATAACGTAAATGTGCTCATTTTTGCTCCTTTTTTTATATACGTTAAGAAAATAGTGCATAAACATGACAGCGCGCGACTGTGTGTCGCGTGACTCGAGGGGTTCACGAGAGGCGAGGGGAACTCACGATCAAAAAGCACCCCGGTTCGTGAGAGGCGAGGGGAACTCACGGTCCAAAAAGCAACCCGGTTCGTGATAGGCGAGGGGAACTCACGGTCAAAAAGCACCCCGGTTCGTGAGAGGCAAGGGGAATTCACGGTCCAAAAAGCACCCCGGTTCGTGAGAGGCGAGGGGAACTCACGGTCAAAAAGCACCCTGGTTCGTGAGAGGCGAGGGGAA